CAGCTGGAATATGCACTCTGATGACTCAAAGTTTACACCTCTCTGCATATGCCTGTTAATGACCATGAAAGTACTGCAAATGTTGATTTTGGTGTTATGAATGAATTTTACGAGTAGACAAATTAGCATATGTGGAATCTGTGAATAATAAACATTGATTATATGGTCAAATAGGTAAAAGTGGTCTACTAACCAAGAAAATAATTATTACTAAAATTTCAAATTATATCTAAATAGCACTGAGTGGTCCACACAGATAGATTATAATGGAGTAGAGGAAGATATACTATGCTAACATATTGAAAAAAAAAAGCTGGAGTAGCTATATTAATTTTAACACAAAAAACTTCAGAAGAAGGAAAATTATCAGGGATAAAAAGAACCATTACATAATGATAAAGGGGCCACTTCTCCAAGATGATATTATAAATCTTCATATGTGTGAGCCCAATAAAAGAGCATCAAAATACATGAGGCAAAAACTGATAGAACTGCTAGAAGAAACAGATGAATCCACTATTTTATCAGTAGTTTAGGACCTCTTTATCATAAATGGACAGATCCAGCAGGCAGAAAACTTAAAAGCACATGTTTGAAATCAATAACATCATCAATCAATTTGATATAATTGATATCTATAGAATACTTCATCCAACAACAACAGATTGTTGTTGTTCTCAAGCTCACATGTAATACTAAGATAGACTACATAAAATATACCTTAACCAGTTTAAAATAATAGAAACCATACAAAATAAGCTCTCAGACCACAGTGGCATTAAACCAGAAATCAATAACAAAAAGATAGATGGAAAACCTAAAATTCTTGGAGATTAAACAACACACTTGCAAATAACACAAAAAAGACTCAAGAGAATTTAAAAAATTCAAACTAAATGAAAATGAAAATATAAACTATTAAAATTTGTGAGATGCAGGAAATGAAATGCTTAGAGGAAAATTTATGGCCTTGAATAAATATGTGGGAAATAAATACCTAAAATCACGAATATAAACTTCCACCTTAGGAAATTGAATAAAAGAATGAATTAAGTCTAAAGTAAGCCAAAGCAAATAAACAATGAAAATTAGAGTAGAAATAAATTCAATTGAAAACGGGAAATTGCTAGTGAAAATCAATTAACCTGAAAGCTCATTCTTTGAAAAAATCAATAAAATTGATAAGCCCCTAGCCAGGTTAACTAAGAAAAAAGAGAGAGAAGATACAATTACTGATATCAGAAATGAAAGAGGGTACATTACTACAGATACTATGGATATGAAAAGGATAAGAAAGGAATACTAAGAACAACTCTGTGCCCATAAATTTGATACTGTAGATGAAATGCATCAATTTCTTCAAAGACACGATCTACCCAAACTTACACAAAGAGAAATAGATGGTATGAATAGGCCTATATCTATTAAAGAAGTTAAACACATACTAAATAACTTGTCAAGACAGAAAGCACCTGGCCCTGATGGGTTCACTGGTGAACTCTACCAAACTTTTAAAGAATAAAATTATATGATTCTTTTGTTTGTTTACGGTCTCTTCCGGAAGATATAAGCAGAGGGAATACTTCCTAAATCATCCTATGAGGTCAGCATTACCCTACTACCAAAACCAGAGAAAGCATTACAAGAGAGGAAAACTACAGACCAATATCTGTCATGAACACAGATGTAAAAATTCTTCAAAAAAATTGGCAAATTGAATTCAGTACTGTACAAAAAGAATTGTGCATTATGACCAAGTGGTGTTTCTTTCAGGTATGCAAGTCTTATCTCAACATTTGAAAATCAATTAACATAATTTATTACATCAATAGAATAAAGAATAGAAACTGTTGACTGTATCAACAAATGAAGAAAAAGCCTTTGACAAAATCTAACACCTGTTTAAGATGAAAACTCTCAGCAGAACCTATAGGGAACACATACTTAATGGGGACAAAGATAAGGAACAAAGCAAGGACGTCCACTCTAAATAGCACTGACTGTTTCAAAAAAGATTTTGACTTGATGTAGCTTTGTCAAGAATTAGGCATGTAGGTTAAAAATAGTTCCAGTTGTCTAGCATCTCACAGGGATGATTTGGGAATTACATATGTTAATTGAGACAAAATGAACACAGTTATTCTAAGACTGCACAGCTTGGGAAAGTAGCTTCTAATGGTAAGGGTACTGGACTGCACTATTAAGGAATATTAACTGAGAGTTATTCCTTTTTAGTGTGATTGGTGAATTTTTATACAATTTAAGACAATTTTTGTTAAAACTACTCATTTTCATTTGCTTTAGAGTATTTTTTTGCTTTCTGATTTTTCTAAGTAAAACACAGTAGCCAAGTCAAAAATCAAGTGGAACTACATCATCAAACTAGAAAGCTTCTGAAGAGCAAAAGAAACAACAGAATGAAAAAGCAATCTACAGAAAGGGAGAAAATATTTACAAACCATATACCTGATAAGGGATTAATATCTAAAATACATAAGAATCTCATACAACTCAATAGCAAAAGCCAAATAATCTAATTAAAAATGGGCAAAGAACTTGAATAGATATTTTTCTAAAGAAGACATAAAAATGGCCCATAAGTACATGAAAAGCTACTCAATATCACTAATCATCAAGGAAATGCAAATCAAAACTATAATGAAATATCACTTCACACCTGTTAGAATGACTATTATCAAAAAGACAAGAAGAAATGTGGAGAAAAGGGAATTCCCATTGGTAGGAATGTAAATTGGTATAGCCACAATGGAAAACAGTGTGGAAGTTCCTCAAAAAATTAAAAACAGAATGATACAGCAATCCTGCTTCTGGGTGTTTATCTAAAGTAAATGAAATCATTATCTCATAAAGATATCTGCACCTCCATATTCACTGTAGTGCAAACCACTGAAGTTCCATCAACAGATGAAAGGATAAAGAAAATGTGATTCTCTCTGTCTCTCTCTCTCACACACACACATATATATATACAGTGGAATATTATTTAGTCATAAAAAGAAGAAAATCCTGCTGTTTGAGAAAACATGGATAAATCCCAAGAGTATTATGCTAAGTGAAATGAGTCAGAGAAAGACAAATACTGTATGATATCACTTTTATGCAGTATTTAAAACAGCTGAACTCAGAAACAGCCGGGGTTGAAGGGTGGGGAAATGGGGAGATGCTGGTCAAAGGGTACAAGCTTTCAATTATAAGAGGAATAAGTTCTGGGGATCTAATATACAGTGTGGTGACTATAGTTAACAATACTGTGTTGTATACTTGAAAGTTGCTAAGAGAGTAAATCTTAAATGTTCTCACCATAACAACAACAACAACAACAACAATTATCATTTTGTCAGGTAAAGAGAGGTTACTAGCCTTATTGTGTAATAATTTCACAATATATATATACCTGTCAGATCATCACATTGTACATCTTAAACTTATACAATGTTAGATATCAATTATATCTCTGTAAAACTGGAAAAAAAACCCCACAGTAGCCAAGGAAAACATGAACAATTATCTTTATATTACACTTTGCCAGGGCCATCAGGTTGGATAGACTTTAAAGCATTTTGAGATGCATTCTTGCTGTGGCATGCTGGAGTGGACAGTATGCAATCAAATCCTAAACCTCCTGGAATTCTTCAGTCTAAAACACTGACAAGCAAAAAATTACAATGGTCAAATTGAACCTGCATTCTGACCCTAAAGTTGCTATGACAGGAGAATTGAAACTTGAGCAAAGAAAAATTTTTTCAATGAATATATTGATGTATAGTTTTAAAGCAAAAATTACTCTCCTGAAGACAAAGTTAATCCATAACTTTTTGTTAACTTGTCTCTATTTTTCTAGTGATGACTGATATTTTAAAAGGCATGAAAGCATTGCAAACTCCTCAAGTCAGCTTTAGAGAGCATATTTAAAGTCCTTTATTGTTTTCCTGTGAGATTCTGCTGGTGAATAAAACACAAAAATGAGCATGCATGCATGTGTTCATGCTCACGTACACATACACACGCACACACACACAGAACATAGTTATCGTAAAGGCGACTTTGTCTTTAAAGTTAAGAGCTTGTTTCTTATGAAAGGCTTTGCATGTTTTATGCAAAATTTCAATGTTTATCTTCATGCTCATCACAAGTCTTAAAACAGGTTTTAGTTAAGGAAAATATATGGATGTTTACCACCTCCATGTCATTTCTTAAAGATTAAATCTTTTTTTTAAAGAACTCAACAGTTTTCCTCCCTTATCTCTACAGTCCTTTTCTAAACTCTAGTTTCATTCATTGAACATCCATTTATTAAGCACCTGCACACCAGACACCACACTCTGGGAGCTCTCTGAAGTCCGAGGTGACACAAAAGGACAAGTACAATGAATATGAGATCAGTGACACAAGAGTGCAGAAGAGGGTGCCCTGGGGGTTGGCATGGCTGGTTGAGTTTGGAGTGCCCAAAGTATGATTCAAAGAGGAATAATTATTTGACGAGAATCTTGAAAAGAATTTGGATGCAAAATAACAGGAGAAGAAAATAGCATTCCAGGCAGGGGATTATTGGACTAGTTTATAGAGCTGTGGAAAAACAGATCCAATTTGGGGAATAGCAGAATATTTGATTTGGCTGGAAATGGAAGTAGCAAAAAAAAAAAAAAAAAGGCTAGTAAACAAACAAGGTCAAAGGATGTTTTTTCCTAGGATGATTTTTGGTTTGGGATTTCATTTAATGTAGTTAGTGATGAGACATTTAAGGATTTAAGGCAAAAACATGTCAAGATCACAGTTGCAATTGAGCGAGCAAATTGGTTTACCATTATTGTCCTTTTCTATTATTTTTCTTCTTCTTCTATTTCTTTGCCCAGCTTTTTGTTTTAATCTGTGTTTGCCTTCTGTTAGACATCAGCTATTTACACCCATATTACAATCTTAAAACAAGGTAAAGTGAAAAAAGAATTATAACAAAAGATAATAGAAATAATCAGGCTTACCAAATCCTTGGAGTGCTCCCCCTAGCATTTGGGCATCCATTATGGGATTGAAATTGGGAGCTGGGAAAATGGTTCCTTGCACCTGGTGGGAATAGTCAATGAGAAAGAGACTGTAGTATTTTATAAGAAAGATTTCAACATTTTTTTGCAGATAAATGAAAACAAAAACATTCTATGTGTTTAAATTACTCTAAGACATACATACAAATTTATTAAACAAATGCGTTAATTGTGTGTTAATTGTATGGAGCAAATTTGGTTGAATTTCTTTTAATCCAGTGGCCTCTATTATATTGGCTCTATTATTCATCTAGGAATTTGAGATACTAGAACCAATAGTAGAAAATGTGAGAATCAAATAAATACAAATCTTGGTAATAAACTGTAAACATTTTCTTAGGAATTTGTGGTTATTTAAAGAAACTGAAAGGAGAAATCTATTGCAGGAATTCATGACATTTATATGGATTAGAAGTGGCACTTGCCACCATAGCTTTTTCACACACCTGGGGCCCTAAAATCATACTAAAAAAATCGAAATATTTGAATTTGGGTTGTGAGATTCATAAAAATCTAGGCGATAAAGATAGGGCAGAGATTTTTTTTAGCTGAAGCTTGCAGCTGCAAAGGAAAACATAAAAACCTGACTGGCATTCCATTTAAATTTTCTTTGTTGCTAATAATAAAATAGCAGAACATTTATGTTAGACTTTGAATTCACGTGGTCTATTATTTCAGACAGAGCCAGCCAGGACTAGGCACCATATCATCATACTCACCACAAGAGAACTATCAATCAAAATTTATTAAGAATGGTCCCTCTCCCGGGCGCCTGGGTGGCTCAGTTGGTTAAGCGACTGCCTTCGGCTCAGGTCATGATCCTGGAGTCCCGGGATCGAGTCCCATATCGGGCACCCTGCTCAGCAGGGAGTCTGCTTCTCCCTCTGACCCTCCTCCCTCTCCTGCTCTCTGTCTCTCATTCTCTCTCTCAAAAAAAAAAAAAAAATCTTTAAAAAAAAAAAAAGAATGGTCCCTCTCCCCTGTTTGTTGTCAGTGTGCCCAGAAACATTGGGAAAAAATGCCTTCCCATAGCAAATGGGTCTACTAGGCCTTGAGAACTCAGGCATTCACCAAGCTCTTCTACAAGAATAGTCTCTTAGCGGAAGATGAAGTTTTCTAGTGCCTATTTTCTTACAGTAGAACATTAGTTAATGAGAAGAAGATGGCACCATAATGTCTAGTCCAAGAAATATACGTATGCTAATACTAAAATATTTATGAAAAGATTTTGGGGGACTAAGGACATTGTTCACTTGAGTTAAAACTAAAAAAAAAAAAATTCAGTTTGGATTTCATTTCATTAATATTAATGATGATGAAGTTGTCTATTTGAAGTAGACTGGAAACCATATAATAACTGTGATATATCCATATTTTCTTAAGTACAGCCATGTTAATAAAACATTCTTTTTAAATGCCTGTATGGATAGATATATGTAATTAAAATAAGAGTATGGTCTGCATCTACACATAGATATATGTAATTAAAATAAGAGTATGGTCTGCAGAGTAGGGTTAGCATCTTGCTAAAGTGCATGCAGTTTGCTTTGGATATTCAAGTTTATTGGAGATGATCTAGAGACTAAATTCTCTTGAGCCAATCCTCACTTCTGCGAGCTATATATTAGACAGTATGAGTGTTATCTCCTTTATCCACTAACCTTTTCCACTGTGACTCTATTAAGAAGATAGACTTTGGTTCTTCTTTTATTTATTAAATTAAGTTTAGATAGCAGGTTCTAGTGTAAATTCCTAGGTTGAGGTCTCCTCACCTGAAGCATTTTCCTTTGAATCTTTTTATCCTAGAAAAAATGAATGCTTTAAACTTTTGAAAGAACAGTAATATATTGAATGTGAAAATTGTTTTCTGCTATTTGTCACTGCCTTTTTGTCTATATATCTCTTTCTCAGTTCTTTCCCCTGTTGGGAAAATAAAGTTTTTTTTGAGGCATGGAAAAAGAGATACTTTATTTCCCCTATTTTAGGACTTGGAAGACTTGTTTGGACAAATTTTGTGTGGATAATACCATTTTTTTGCCTGGCGACCTTAATTTTGCTGACTGCTAATCAGCCAAAGGGCTGTTTTAAACTGTAGAAGAGGGGTGCCTGGGCGGCTCAGTCAGTTAAGCATTTGCCTTTGGCTCAGGTCATGATCTCAGGGTCCTGGGATGGAGCCCTACACTGGGCTCCCTGCTCAGCAGGGAGTCTGCTTCTCCCTCTTGCTCTCGCTCTGTACTCTCTGTCTCTCTCTCAGATAAAAAAATAAAATCTAAAAAAATGAACTATAAAAGAAAATGTTTTTGAAAATAGTAAGACATATTGTTAAATATGTGTAAGTTACTAGGCAGTTTTAAAGCACAGAGTATGCAGATGTTTACAAATCATTTCATTCCTGGCTAGACTAGGATTTTCCAGAATTTCTATTGGAGTAAGTGTTATAAAATAAAAGCATATACCTTTATAGGGAAGAAGAAAAAACCTCTAAAATTTATAGATAAAGGAGGTAGTAAATGTTTATAGTGATTTGTTAGATGCAATCTGTAGGTGAAAGAAAAAGTCCACAGTTTTTTCCTTTGGAGTTTTTGTTGTTAATCCTTGTACAGATTACTAGTGCAACATATTTTTACAATATAATGTAAAAATTACTTTTTTCATTACAGTTCTCATCTTCTTTGTCATTTCAAATCCTTATTTCCTTGTCAACTGGCATTAAAATAATACACTAAAAATGTTTTGGAAAAAAATTCAAGACAAAGTAAAGAAAATTATAAATGCTTAGTAATTCACAAAACACAATTTTTCTAGTAAGTATTTGTCATTTATGCCCACTTATATCGTAAACCTTTATATTTATTTTTAATATAATAGTAAACCATTTGAATATATTTACTATTTAAATATAGTAAACCATTATATTTATTTTTATGCCATTTATTATGTTTCATTTAAGCTCAGGTCAGCAACATTATTCCATATAAGGTACATACTTAATGTTCTTTTTACTTATTTTGTCATTGGAATACTGATTTTGTCTTTTAATGACAATATTTTTCCAGCTTTATTAAGAGGTCATTGATATATAACATTGTGTAAATTTAATTTGTATAACATGATTTAATATATGTATATATTATGAAATGATTACCACAATAAGGTTGATTAACATATTTATCACCTCACAGTTGCCTTTTCTTTTTCTGATGAGAACATTTAAGAGCTACTCTTAGAAACTTTCAAGTATACAATATAGTATTGTTAACTAAAATCACCATGCTGTACATTAGATCCTCAAACTTATTTTCCTTATAACTGGAAGTTTGTACTCTGTGACCAACATCTCCCAATCCCCCCCCGCCCACACACACTCCAGTCAGCCGCTGGCAATCACCAGTCTTTTAATGATCATTTTGACTAAAGTGACCAGTTAAGTCTATTGAAACAGTCAATTATCAGTTTTAATTTTGTTCCCTGAATTAAGCAGTTATTTGAAAAAAAAAGATTGATTGTTTTGGGCCATAAAACTTTTTCAAATGACTACGATATACCTATAGATATATATTCATCTATTTTAAGGTAATTTGATCTTTCCTTTGGATATTTTTTTCTAAAATTTGTGCTCAACCATAGTCTATGCATTCCTTAATAGCCAACATCAGTCTCTGATGAAATGAATCTATTCTGACCACTTCTTTTACTAACTCCCTAGAACTTACTGCATTTGTATTTAAAATCAGTACTTATGTTTTCCCATTTGCTACCTATTCTTAAAACTGGGAATTTCGCTATGTAATACATAGTACATGTTATTTTATAACATAGTGCTGTACCAAGTAGTTATTCTTTGGCTACATTTCTTGTCCCTCTAATTATATTTTATGTCTCTTGATTACAGTATATCAAATCTATACCATGATTTTCTATGTAGTGAGACTTCTTTTTAAAATGTTTTCATCTAGGGGCACCTGGGTGGCTCAGTCGTTAAGTGTCTGCCTTCAGCTCAGATCATGATCCCAGGGTCCTGGGATTGAGCCCCACATTGGGCTCCCTGCTCGGCGGGAAACCTGCTTCTCCCTCTCCCACTCCCCCTGCTTGTGTTCCCTCTCTCTCTGTGTCTCTGTCTGTCAAATAAATAAAATCTTAAAAAAAAATAAAATGTTTTCATCTACTGGTGATGTCACTTAAGTTAAATGATTTCTTAAAAAAATGAGATCTTTTTTTCCAAGATTATGCCTACTTTATTTTTTTTATTGTTATGTTAATCCCCATACATTACATCATTAGTTTTAGATATAGTGTTCCATGATTCATTGTTTGTACATAACACCGAGTGCTCCATGCAGAATGTGCCCTCTTTAATACCCATCACCAGGCTAACCCATCCTCCCACCCCCTTCCCCTCTAGAACCCTCAGTTTGTTTCTCAGAGTCCATCGTCTCTCATGGTTCGTCTACCCCTCCGATTTCCCCCCCTTCATTCTTCCCCTCCCGCTATTTGTTGCTTTGTATTAGGAAAACTGAACAGAGACAAATAAATGAGACAGACAAACAAAAATTACACTGGAGAAGAGGGTACAGGGGAGAGAGATGTTCCTAGTTTGATAGGGCACAATTTTTTCCAGCCATATGTATGAACTGAAGTGATCTGGGAAATGGGAGCACAGTGTCTCAAGACTCTCTTGTGAGAGTAAAATAATCTGTATTATTATAATATATTGTTATAATCTATAGCAATGTGAAGGATGAAACAAAAAGAAGTTATACAGGTGGCAGAGGTAGCTAATTTGGAAACCCAGTTGAAATTCAGTGCACCCCTGAACTGAGACAAATAGCATGTTCTTAATAAATATAGATTGCTTAGTTAACTGAATGTAATTTAATTTACTAATTTTTAAGATTTATTTTAACTTAACACAGTAGCAGTAGTTAAATCTTTTGAAAGAGTCAGAGACTTTTGTTTCAGGTGTTTTTGAGCATATATGCCTTTTAAAGCAATGTTATTTTTTATATACATGTTCCTAATTGT